GTCCGCCTACCACGCAACGTGACAGCAGCAGAATGTTTTTCCACTGAGGTTAGATTAGTTTACTGTTTACCAGTGCAGACAGGTCAGAATAACAGTAATACATCTTTCTATATTCAACTGTTTATTGCATTTTATTTCCAGGATTCTGGGGGACCACAGCACTGAGAATGTGGATGTTGCCAGGCTGATGTTCACAGTACAGGGAACAGGAAATGGCAGCTATATAGCTGAAAAAAGTGTGTACAATCAAAGGTACAAATATAAACAAAATTTTATTTAAACAAAGTCTCTGAAATACAAGGGTTCTCTTTTTTAAAGGACACTATAATGCAAAGAACATTCATTGATGTGTCACTGTGGCCTGAAAAGATTTTGCCAGTGACTTTGGTTATTTTCCATCAGGTTAATACATTACACTGGAAACTGGCCATATGGCTTTATTGGGCTATGCTACACAACCCCAACCAACTTTTTTTCAGTCACACTGAGACTTTCTCACTCCTCTCTTTCTCTCTTCAATAGTAAACAAAACACTGTATTAACAAAGTCTCCACATTGGTACTGGTGTTGCCATTCCTTATCTTAAAACATGTCCAAGTTGTTGTCATCCTCTGCATAGACTTACCAGTTTCCCTAGAGGAGTGTTCTCTGTATTTGTCCTAATGTTTCTGATTGACAAACTTAATTTTTTGGTATCCAAGATTTTTTATGAGTACATGAGTACTATACTTATGTACTTTATCACAGAAGTAGAATCAATTTATGAATGTGATTTTCAGACACTTTTCAGTTTAACCAAAGTGTATTATTAGTCTGTTGATTAATGTATAAACCAAAGAAAGAAACAAACTACCAAAAAATACTGTTTCAATGTTCATCCTAGAATTGAAAGGCTGTGGCGAGATGTATGGATGGGTGTCACCTGGACCTTTTATAATCTCCTTCACAATTTGGAGGAACAGGGGAATCTGGACATCTCTGACAGTGTGCACCTGTTCTGTTGCCATTACATTTTCATCCCTTGGCTTCAGACAAGTCTTGATGTCCCGCTTTTCGCATTTCGGGCTGGCTGTAAAGTGTGAAAATTCTGCCTGCCATGTGAATAAACTGCTCTTAAACGATTCGTAACATGTTCGAACGTGTTCAAATGAACTTTCTCCCTCCCTCTTACCAACCGGACTCACCAAACAATTCCTCATTCCCGCTTTCATCACGGTCTCTGTCCCCGCCCTTGCCATCCATTCCACATGTGCACCACCGGAAATAATCAGGCTCACCTCAGGCCAAACCAGCTCCCTCTATAGGAATGTAGTACAATAGGGACCAACCTACATCAACTTCTGCCACTTGAAGATGGCTATACTACACTCTGCCACACCCACCCCAGATTTGAACACTCACCATCCCGGCGAGGAGAACCCCCTTTCTGATTACAGCCATGGCCTGAATTCCACCTGCCTGGGGGCAATGGGGGATGTTGGTCTACCCTAAATTGAATTGGTTTGGCTCACCTCCACACAGGCAGTTCTAGGCAAATAGGATGGATTACTATGCTGACCTGCTGTGGCCCTTGCTGAACGCCTCGCCACCATGTCAATACTCAAGGGGGGACTCTATACGATTTCCACTGAGGTTACAGCACAGGCTTCACCCCTGTGCATGAGCTACAGTCCGGCCAGGCGCAGTGGTTATTAGCCCAGGGGGAAAAGGAATGGTTGGACTACCCACCGAAGGCATGCCTCCACTATCTTCTGAGCCAACTGCTGATTCTACCAACATGATTCCATCCTCATCCCTTTCCTCCACCAAATGTGCACTGCTCCTTATATCGTCCCGATCTTGAGGACTCCTCCATACACTA